TATTATTAGCATTAATAACTATAAAATACAAATAAAAAGAAATAATGGGCAAAGCAATGTTAATAATGGAGCCACCTTACTAGTTCACCAGTTCCCTGGAGTCCCCAGATCTGATGGCACAACCAGGTCTTGAGGGACATTCGGAAAGTCAAGAGCGATGGTTCCAGCCTCACCTCAGGGGGGAGGATATTCCACAATGTGGGCACCACAGCCGAGAAGGCCCGCAGCCTAGGGCCAGCCAAGTGTAGCTCCCTAAATGAAGGAACCCGTAGCATGCCCTCTCTACTAGATCTGGTGGGATGGGCAGATGTGATTGGGAAGAGGTAGTCCCTCAAATACCCAGTCCCATGTTATGTAGGACTTTAAAGGTCAAAACCAGCACCTTGAATTGACCCAGAAACAGGCTGGTAACCAATGCAGCTCATGGAGCAGAGGTGTAACATGTGTTCTACGAGAAATACACATAACTGCCTGCTGCTGCATTTTGCACCAGCTGAAGTTTCTGGATACTCTTCAAGGGCAGCCCCCTGTAGAGTGCATTACAATAGTCCAATTGGGAGGTGACTAGGGCATGAATGACTGAGTAGGGCCCCTCAGTCTAGGAACGGGCACAACTGGCATACAATACGAAGTTGTGTGAAGGCCCTCCTAGCCACATCTGCCATCTGCTCATCAAGCAGGAGTTGAGACCAGGAGTACCCCCAGATTGTGCATGGGGTTTGTTTGGGACCGTGAACCCCATCCAGCACCAAAGATGGCACAGTCCCAGAACCAGAGGTCCCCAAAACCAAATCTACTCAGTCTTGCCAGGGTTCAGTTGAAGCCTGTTGTTCCCCATCCAGACCCTCACAGCCTCCAGGCACCAGAACTGAGATGTACAATTGGATGTCATCAACATACTGATGATACCTCACCTCAGGGTGATGGATGAGCTCATCCAGCGGTCTCATGTAGAAGTTAAATAAGTGAGGAGAAAGCATTGACCCCTGAGGCACTCCACACAGTAGGGGCTGAGGGTGGAAACTCTCCTTCCCAATCACCACTGAATGGAATCGACCCTGGAGAAAGGAGGTGAACCAGCACAACACTGTGCCTCCACCCCCAATCTTCTGAGTTGATCCAGAAGGATACCATAGTCGATGATGGTACTGAAAGCCACTGAGAGGTCAAGTAAGGCAAGGATGGATGCATAACCCACTCCCATGCCACCTCCCCGGGATAATATCAACCAGGACACTCTATTGCAGACCTCAGTGACCATTTTAGAAAAATGAGACTTTAACAGCATGATTGAGCGAGAGACTTCTGAACTCACATACATGAAAAGGTTTTAGGCAATCTCAAAAGGTCTCAACAAACACAATGGATGTTTAACTTATTACGATGGTTAATTGATTAAGTACTTGTAATTTGTCTCATGTGTAATTTGCACCTGCATAATCAACCTGTCTTTCCCTCCCTTCCCCCTGCTTCATCCCAACTGAAATCCTACATCAGTTTAGTCACTCTGTGCATCTGAACAGCAGCTCACAAAAGCCTGGGCCTGTTGATAAAATTTGTTAGCCAGAAAAGGTGCTGCCAGATTCCTCCTGATGTTTCGCTCAGACCAGCACCTGCATTGGGTGTGTGTGGAATTGATCAGAATTTGGTTTGCTTTGTTGCTAATTTATTTAGAGGGATTTTTATGTTATTGAAATTTAACTCTCTCTTCAGAGCAACCAAATCTAAAGGGGAGAAAAGGTCCAAACCTTTGAAGAAAAATCTTACAAACTTTACTACTTTATGATCAGTTTCTGATTTAGGTATGTTCATAAACCAAGAATTAGAGGGGCACTTGAAGAATCTTCACAAGCCTCGAATGCACATTTCTATGCTGAAACCTGCTTAGACTGTTCAGATATTAATACGATACTCTTGGGTACCCCCACATTCAGTCTTGAGAATCATGATCACAACAACAGCCCTAATGCATGACTAGCAGTTACACATAAGTAGTATTAGCTTCAATGCAGCATAAACATGATTGATTTTTCTGGATCAGGATCAATGTAAACAAAACTCTGAATTCTACACTACACACTACACAAATACATTTTGAATGCATAGCTATATGTGCATTAAATACATACAGCTATGCATCACATAATATATCACATAATATATGCAATCATAAATCAAGGGACAGGTCTGTATTACTTCAAAGCTGGGTTTCATTATTTGGTGGCAGCATTATTAATGATTACTTATTCCTTATTTTTCTGGGATTATTTTTACTCCATAGCAGGGATGAGGAACTGAATCTGGGTAAGATCTGGATTCTTCCCCCCCGCCCCACCCCCATTATCTCTGGCTGAATTGCATCAAATCCTTTCCTGCCCCAAATCTCATCCTCTACTGCTCTCCATCTCTCCATCTCCCACTTAGTCGGAGGCTGGAAATTCCCCCTTATTCCATTTGGAGGATCAGGCACAAGGGCTGTCAGAGCTTTGGCTGCTGAGTGTTGCAGTTCAGTAACTGAGTCTCCCTCCTTGGTGTACGGTGACTGCTGATGGAGATATTTGAAAGATATTTTCCATCACTGCTACTGGGCAGCTGTCAACCATGGCAACAGGACACACTCTGGAAAAAAAGTGTGATGTTGCTGAGGATTTTAGATGTTCATGTTGCTTGTTATGACTTTCCTAGTACACAACCTGAGAATTTCCACTTTTGTCATACAGGCAGGCAGAGATAGTTACACCCTATGTATGAGTACTGGGGTACTTATGGGAACTAGTATTTTAATTCAGTGAAACTCCTCAGCACATACAAAAAACCTGTGCAAGCATACCTCATTCATACTTACAGACTGAAGTTTTCGGGTAGAAAGCAGCGGTTCCTAAGCAGCCCTGCCCAAAGCTGGACTCCAACAATACCAAAGATGAAGAAGACAAAGAAACAGAGAAGGAGGACATTCCCCAACATAGGAAGTGTGTCCAAAAGCAGGGTAACCAGGATGCGCATGCCTAAGGAAGCAAAGAAAAGCTGTGTTTTAGGGTGAGAAGTCCTACTGAGTTAGCTCATCCTGGTTCTAAGAGAAGAAGGACATTAGATCTGATAACCATACATGCGATAGCAGTTTTCTCCAATCTGTGCTCTTCTAGATGTGTCAGGGCAGCAGTTCCCAGAGCAGGCTGGGAATTCTGGGAGTTGCATAACTTGAAGATGTCAAGATGGAGAGGCAGTTTTTCAGCGTTATCCCTCTGGACTTCTTCCTCAGTCCTAGTGTGTCCACAATATATTCTGATTATTCAACACTAGTCTAATCAGGCATGGTGATAGTAAAAGTCACAGATTCACAGTTGGTGTGTTCCTGTGGGCTCAGCAACAAATATCAACCACCAGACACATATGGAGAGATACCACCCTAGAACATGTAGGAAAACAACCCATCTTCTTCATCTCTTAAAAAGGAAAGTGTACAATCAGCATGGTGGACAATTCTGAAGCACAGGAGCTCACCATGACTACCTCACAGCCAAAGACCCAAGAAAATCCACAGTTATACCTCAAAATAGATGAATCCTGACAGAAGTATCCTTTTTGTATGTTAAAAAAAGCTTTATTGCTGTTTCTTAAAAAAAAAGAAGAAGAAGAAACTTCTTACACTTGATTAATAGCTACAGTATAAAACAAAGGTATCTGAAACAAGCAAACTACCAATAAAATGTCATATTTAAATTTATGGAGCATGACTGCAGTTCTGTGCATTTATTGGCAGAAAACTCCATTGAATTCAACCTGTAAAACATATTGAGCTTTGACACAAATCTTTAACTAAGTGTAATGCGAGGGAACCTGACTTTGTTTTATAAGGTTATTTGTTCTTTGACTTTCTGTTTGCTTGTTGCAAACATTTTGCTACCTTCTCATTCATTTTTCACTTAGGGATAGATAAATCAATTTCAGTTTCTTCAGTTTTTAATTTTTCCACTTTTAAATGAATTCTATCTTCTCCATCAGCATCCTTTTCTAAGGTCTGTCTATAAATTACACATTTTGTATGCAATATTGTCTAATATTGTATTTTTAGTAAGCAGATTTTCTTAATGTAATGCTTTTTCATGTACTTTAAAAATCCCTATTCCACATATTTTTGTGCACACTTAATAATATGCCTTTCATATGAAAAGTTCTGAGAAATGTAGATATTAAAGGATAACTGCACCGAAATCCATATATTCATTCAGAAGATGCAAACTTGGCTAGTTCCTATCCAAATAAGAATTTATGGCATTCTGCCCCATCTGTAACCAAAGCTCATTGATCATCCTGGACATTCAACAGATGACACAATCATCCCTGCTCCTGAAAGACTGCCATGCAATGTTCTTTTCTGTCGTCTCTCCCATTAGACCACAGGCTGCAGTTCAATCCAAAGGTAATTTAGAGGCCTACAACAGTTGCTGTACTCAAGATTATGTCTAAACACCTTGCTCTAATTATTTGGAAGCTTTATACTATGGGTGTGTAGATTCTCAATAATCTATTTTATTGTAATCTGGCATTTTCTTCTAAGTCTTTTTTTTTTTTTAAATTATAGAATCCTCTCCTTCCCTTTATTGGCACTTTGCGGAATTACCATTTAACCATACAATGTAATTTCATCATGGAGTTATTCTGGGAACACTGTGTGGTTTGTAGAGGGATCAGCACTGCTGTTAAGTTTCCAGGGCTTTCCATAGATTAAACAAAAATAGAATAGACCCCTTCCTCACTTCATACATTTAAGAAAAGTGCCTCCATCCCCAAATTAATCTCCAGATTGTCCTCCTTCTAGGGAAGAACATGCATCAGCTGGCCTTTGTATTCAGATCATTATGGATTCTTCTGTAGACAAGGTCCCCAATCTGCTTCCAGGTGGACTTCTTTTACATGCTGACTTTAGAGGCTATCCAAACAATATAGAGTGTGTCCTGCCCATCAAATATTTTATTTATTATATTTTACCCCAGTAAAGAAACTACCTGTACTGTGTCTGTCTGTGTACACAAACATCTATATGTGAATAGGGTCTTTCTTCCAGCTTTTCCTTCTGCATTCTGTCCAGTCTTTTAACTCAGCTACCATTGCCTGCCTACTTGCTTGACTTCTTGTCAATATTTTGCTCCTTCAGCATTTACGGACAAAACTTTAACAGGAGAAAGGTTCTATCTCACTGCCTATCTGTATGCTGAGAAAATCAGTCTTTGTACTCTTACTGCCCATAAATTAGTAAGAATTATGGGGTCCTGACAAAGGAGCAATCCTAAAAGTTCCATGCTGCCCTACCTGTGCCCTACCCTACTCACAAAACCTCTTCATCTCCTTCTTACTCAATACATTAACATTTTCCAACCCATCCTGATTCTACTCCACTTACAAATATTCAAAATTGTTTAAGATCATTTATTTTTTTGACTTCCTCTGTCCGGTACCAAAACAGCCTCTCTCACACACATCACTCAGTGACCTGCATTAAATCTCTACATTTATTCGTGATTCTGACTTTTCCTCACCTTGCTTCCTTATGCTTCCTGTGCAGTCTCAGCTCTGCTGTGTAGGATCAAAGATAAATTACCCAGGATTTGCAAATGTATGAAGCAAATTATATCCCCAGTTAGATAGAGGGAGATAAATTCAGCCATGTATCTATTCTGTTTGATGGGGGTGGGGGGAGGAAATTTCAACGGAGGTTCTTGGGTCATAAAGCGATAAAAGCAGCAGCAACAATAACAGGGAACATCCTGGTAGATTAAGTTTAATTTAACAAGATTAGAAAAGCAAATATCGCCTAGGAACTTCCAGGTTCTGACAGATGGATCCAGGTCAGAATTTCTCATGTTGTCAAGGTAACAGACAAATTCAACCAGATGGGTCTTCTTCTGTGCTACAGAGCTTTGCACCTACATATGCTATTAAATGCAGGGGCAGAATGGAATTTTGACTTTTATTTAAGCACTCTGCTCAATTGGTTGCATCAGATTTCAGATGTTTTGGACTTTCAGCTAGTATGATTTCACTGGCATAACTAACCCAAACAATCTCTTCTTGCTTTTGTTTAGGAAAAAGAAAAAAACAAAACCATAAGTTATAGGAAATAGAGCAGGTGTTCTCCATTACAACAATAAATAAATTATTGTGGCCCCTCAAAACTAATGATTTCATGGGGTTTAGGGTTGTGTAAGAAATACATGCACAGCTTACCAGAAGATATGTAACATTCATCATACTTTCTTGACTTAACATTACTTTTATCAGTTTGGTCATATTTAACTTTTCATTTACCACCCAAACAACATTTCCATTCTGAAAGTCTAGAGATTCATAATAAACGAACTTCACTAATACATACATTTCTGCAGAGACTCCAAGGACTACAGAAGTACTGGTACATGCCACCTTGGTAGTCACCAAATGGCAAGAAACCTTTTGCCACCCACAGTTATATTGCACTTGGCAGTGGTTTTGACAGATGGCTAGACTCACAAGTTAGGCATCCCTTAAGACTCACTCCAGGCTTTGTTCCCTGCTTTACCCAGGTGAGTTCATTGCAAGCTTGTCCACTCAAAGCAGATCCAAGTTCTGACAGAGCTTCCCCTGTGATCAACTTAAAAAAAAAAAATCTGTGATCCCTGCCAAGTTGCTCATGATCCCACTGGGGGGTGGTTTAAGAACCCACAATTGGAGAATCCCTGAAATAGAAAATAGAAACTAATTTCCTAAAACATCTGACCAGTAGTTTGCAATCAAGGTGTTATAATCAACGTTTAACTTTCGGAGATACAAAGAAGTCCAAAACAGAAACCATCAAAATGCATATATTAAATCAAAAGCCTGTGGCAGTCTCTTATAGGCATATTCATTAATAGGGCTACAATAAATTCAGGTTTGTTCATTTTTTTTATACTGATATCCCACCTTCTCTCCAGCAGTTCAGGGAGGCATACGTAGCACTTGCTCTTCCAGTTTTTCCCCACAACAACAACTGTGTGAGATAGCTTGGGCTGAGACTATATGCTCGGCCCAAAGTCACCCGGTGAGCTTCTGTGGCCGAGGGTGCAGCAGAATCTGGGTCTCCCCAGTCCTAATCTGACCACCACTGTCCCATACTGTCGGCTCTACTATCATTATTATTAAATGAGTATGTGCCCTTGAAAAATATTTTTACTAATTTAAGTGTGTGTGTGTGTGTGTGTGTGTGTGTGTGTTTAAATAGAATAGCCATTCAAATCTAGGACTGGGAGTAAAATCTTCCATCACTGAGGAAAAAGAACAAATGCTAGTAAGAAGCCCTAAGATGAACACTTAACCTATAGGCTAGGAGAAGGACGACAATTTGCAAATCTTTCCTTTTCCCCCCTGATAAACCAGTTCCCTAAAACAAATAACTGTATTTCATTCTTTTGCATGCTGTTTGGATAGGGTTAAGTGGAAAATGTATCATGTGATCCTTTTCATTATTTCTGGACAAATTATTCTCCAGAATAAAGAAGGTAAAAGATGAAAAGGATCACATTAAAAACAATGGCTGGGGATAAGGTAAGAAGCTGTCAGCGCATAGCTGAAGATAGGAATTAGAAGCCAGATGCACAGAAAAACAACTGGTTCCGAAATGGATAGAATCTAATGTCCAACAATCTGTGATGCTGGAAAAAAGACCCACTGCCTTAAAGCAAGGAGCATCTGGCAACTCAAGAAAAAGGATTTGTTTATCATACTCTACAAGTTATTTCATGCTAGTGGAAGAAGACACACTTACATAACTATGTCCATACATGTCCTCATACCTATATTGTGTCTAATAACTCATCCACCCTTTTCCATCACATGCCACTAATGTCTCCAAATCAACAGAATGGATGGTAAAAGTTAAACAATCTGATTAATTGATTCATGTGAGACGTATTACCAGAAAAACAGTTCAGCACAAGAAAGGCAAACACTTCTGGAAACAAAATACGAACTCTTCATCTGTCTGTTTGATTAATAATTCCCTCATTTTTGAGGAGATGAGTCAAACGGAGGGATCGTTCATTAAAAGAGAGCAAACTGGATTATTCATTCATAATGGTCTGGCAAATACCCTGACCATTGATGTACTGAAGAGACAGAGGGGAGCATGTTCAGTGGGATTTTGGAAAATATGTCATCTGTCCAATTTGTTCTCCTGATTCCTCATTATCAGAAATAATGAACTAGTAGCAAAGGGAGGGGGGAAAAGAAGAAAAGAAATTCAACTTACTAGGAACTCGGTTAATAGCTCTTAAGGGCCGGAGTACCCTGACAGTCCGAACAGCTGAGAAACTGACATTCTGCAAGTCCAGAGAGTATTCCAGCATGCTGCAAAATAAGTAAGTAAGTATATATCATAAATAAAGGAGACATATTAGAATTCTGCAGGAAAAAAAATAGATGAAGCATCCAAATTTTGTGTGTGTGTGTGTGTGTATTATATATAGTGATTTTTTTAAAAAATAAAAAACTGTTGGATTTTCCCCATCAAGGAATATTCCTGGAGGAATTCATTTATGAGTCATTTGCCTAACAGCTGAAAGTTCTTGAATCAAAACTATTTGGTAAAGTGTTCCCTCACCTTTCTTTTGGTTATCCTCTAGGCAAGGAGAGAAGTTTCCCAAAGTTTATTGTACTTTTTGGAATGGGGGAACTTGTCCACCTAGCATAAAAACAATCTAAACTAACTAAAACTTTCAGATTTGTACTGTGTTTCCAACATAAGTGACCCATTCAAAGGTGATCCAAGGTACAGGATCTACATAACCAAGTCTCCATTTATGGGATTATCTTGGAGCGAGGTATTTGTAGAAATATGAATTATCCCATGGAATCATTTTCACATAACTACAGTACTCTTTGCTGTCAGCCTGCAGCCGAGATTCTCTTGATACAATACATTGGGGCACTCTTTCACTACTCAGTTTGCATTCATCTGTGTTTCTATCCAAAATTCCACTGTCCAAACCATTTAGTTTCCCTCCTTGCTTCAGATCCTTTTCCTGGCTCCTCATTCCCTTCTCCATCTGGTGTTCTGTCCTCTGCAAAGTGATCCACAGTTTTCCATCTTTTAGCTTTTGTTTGTGATTACTACTTCTTTCCTTGTGACCTCCTTTCCTTCCAACTCAGTCACCCACAAAACAAAAATCTCCTGCTCAGTTCAACACTCCTTTCATTTTTCTGGCTCTAGAGAACACCCTTCCTGGGTGGTGCCATTTCTCTTCCTTTCCTCAGATCCATTCTCATGTGTCTTTTGGTTCATCCCACAGTCCATAGGCTTCATTTGCTTACATTCTTTCCTCCCCTCCTCTCACTCCTGTGATTATATGACCCACTCTCTGTCTTAAAAGGCTATACTGAAGCTCTTCTATAAAGCTCCAAGTGCACTGATAATGCAGAATGAAAGAACAACAACAGTAATATCATTTATATTTTGTAATTTCTCTGAGTGCTCCAGACATCTCACAGGGAGGTCTTCCTAATTTTACCCTCAAAACAAAGTCACTAGTCCAAAGACATGAACTCCATGGCTGAGTTGGGACTTAAACCTGGATCTTCACAGTACCAATCTAGCACTTTAATCACTTTCCAGGTCCTATCATACTTTTTCAGGCCTCCAAGAACCGAGAACAGTGAAACTTCTGCAGCACTGTGAAGAGTAGCCAGACTTCTAAATGTGCAAACACAAAGAAAGAAGCCACTTAGGGAGACCATTCCTTCCTTTCTCCTTCTCATTCAGTTCGGCAGCTGCTCACCTGCCTGTCTATATTAGCAACAAGCATTCAAGGATCTATAATGACTAGAATAAGCTTTATATCAGAGTAAGTTTTAATTGGAAAAGCAGTACAAATGTAATTATTGGTATTTTTTCTGGTGCTCCAGAACCTGCACAGTACTTTAGATATGATGGTGTATAATTTTTCTTACTGCCATGTAAGTAAAAACATAATTTATGGTGCAGCCTTGAGGGCCATCTGAACCACTTTCACCTTATAGTCTTAGAAGCTGTCACTAGGCAAACTATATCTGCCTTCATAACATAATCTCCACTTTACCTCATGAAATGTACCCAAAAACTCCATGTAATTTACCATGTTTCCTCTGTTCAGGCATAGTTCCTGCTATCTAGTACTTTGGCAAGCATATTTTTGAAGTTATTTGAAGACAGAGCTGTGCTATTAAATTTAATAGCAGTTCTGAACCATTGCAATGAGAAATGGATCTCACCACGAAGGACTGCCTGAGATGGTCTGATGGTCTCCCAACAGTTCCAGCTAACAGGGTCAGGTAGAAGAACTGCAGTCTTCTAACATCTGAAGCACAAAAGCTGTATTCTTCTAATACCCAAAGATCCCGAATCCTGCTTTAAAAATTCAGCCAACAGTATATGCACTGGCTGGTGTGGGTCTTCTGGGCTGCACAATATATGCACTATTAAAGAGCACAGCTACACATACAACTAGGAAAGAGTTACCAGATTAAAGCTACCATAGCTTAGTGCAAAAGTATCTGCTTAGCATAATGAAAGTCCCACATTTAATCTCCAGGAACTCCAAGTAAAGCTGAGAAAGGCTCCTGAAGAGCTGCTGCCAGTCAGTGTAGGCAATGCTGAACTAGATGGACCAATAGTGTGACTTGGAATACTGCAGCTTCCTATGTTCCTACTTTTCTATAATAGCACAGTAAACTTCTGTCAGGCTCCAGGAAAATCAGAATCTTTTCATGACAAGGACCTGGCACTTGCACATGGCAGAAGGGAGGTTGAAAGAGGTTCGTCAGAGAGCCACAGGACAGCCACCACTCATATTCAAGGCTCATGGAGGTCCCATTTCTACGTATTATACCATCAAGCACATACCAGTGCTTGATGAGAAACAGCAACATAATATAGAAGGAAAAAAGGAAAATCATGGCATAGCTAACATTATATTATAGTATTGTAGGAGGAGAACCATGTTAGTCTATGGTAGCCCAAAACCAGGAGGAGTTTAGAGCACCTTTTCTAACTAACAAATTTTATTAAAAGGCATGTGTTTTTGTGAGCACAGCTTACTTCATCAAGTGCAATGGAGTGACTAGACTAATGTAGAATTTAAACTGGGATGGGAGAGGCAGAAGACTGGGTGGTTATGTGGGTATAAACTACATGTGACACAGATTACAAGTACTTTGAGGTACTTTGCCCCTTTGGGGTCTGCAACTGAATGGCCTGGAAGGTTGAGATGCTCCTTGTTTTGAGTCCTTATGTCAAACTTCTGTCCATTTTTTTGCATAAAGTTTGACCTGTTTCTCCTCTGTAGAATCCAAAGGAGCATTACTGGCAGATTATGACATATATCATATTGAAGGAAAAGCATGTCAAGGTGCCCCTAAGCCTGTGGGTAAAGTTATTAGAGCCTGTGATAGTGCTGCTGGTGTAAATCTGGAGGCAAAGTAAACCTCTGGGTTGTTATAGGTCTGATTCCTATGTTAGAATCATTTTACTCTTGTTGCTTGTAGGAATCTGCTTCAAGTTCAATTTTTTCAGCACAATTGAGCAAGAGATTGCTGAACGCATCAAAACTCATACATCAAAAGTTTTCAGACTATCTCTGAACGTCTCACAAACCCAATGGATTTTTAACACATTGCAATTGTTCATTAACAAGGTATTTGTAATCTGCAATTGTTCATTAATAAGGTATTTGTTATCTGTCTCACATACAAACTGTATCTGCACAAGCACCCTGTCTTCTGTCTTTCCCCTCCCTGCAACTTCATCCCAATTTAAATCCTGCATCAGTCTAGCCACTCTAGGCATCTGATGAAGTGTGTGGCAGCTAATGAAAGCTTAAGCCTTTTAATAAAATGTGTTAGTCAGAAAAGGTGCTACCAGACTCCTTCTGATTCTTTGCTTATCATAGCACATAAACTTTGAGGGGGGCAAGAGAAACTCTGTTCCCCACCCCACCCTGCTTCTAACATAGACCAGAATGCCAAATGCAGGAAGTTTGCAGCAAGTAAAAGCAACCCATGAGCTGTAGACTCCCTTCTCAGGGACTCCAAAGGAAGATGTAAACTCTGAAATGATGATGAGGGTGACGCGCCTTCAAGTCAGCATTGACTCCTGGTGGCTGCCTGGACTAGTCCCTGCCATTTTTTTGGCAAGATTTTGGAAGAGCCAGCTTGGTGTAGTGGTTCAGGCACCAGGCTAGAAACCAAAGACTGTCAGTTCTAGTCCCCACTTAGGCACAAAGCCACAATCACTGTCTCTCAGCCCCAGGAAGCAAGCAATGGCAAACCAATTCTGAAATCTTGACAAGAAAACATTGAAAGCATCACTAAAAAATTGCACACAAAGGCAAATTAGAATAGTTCACTTTGTGCTGACTGGAAGCTACTCAGTGCTTGTGTATAATAACTGCTTTAGGGAGAAGGCAAAAAGATGTGAACTCAGAAGAGGGTTTGATACCTACACTGATGAAAAAGTTGCCGCTACAATCCTGTAACCCCAAAATCTTCCTGCAGTTGCCTCTGGCAATTGGCAGAGCTGTACCCCGGCAAAAAAAGAGGATTTGGAATGACAGGGGTATTGGGGGACTCTTAAAAAACTCCAGTTGCAATCGCCATTCTTGATTATTCCCATACCTATTAAACATTGTTTTTCAATTATTAACAGTACATACCTGCATTTTTCAGACTGAGAAGATGCATCAAGGCTACAAAGTGAGAAGGAATAACAGCCCTTTAACAAATACTTCCAGTAGCTGGAATTCCTACAACCATGGCCTCTTTTTTTCCCCCTAGGCAAGGTAGCCACTCTATACCGAATAAAGTGGGAGAGGCTATTACTGAGTATACGTTGACTTGTTTTGTGTGAATTAGCCACAAGATGGCTCCCTGAGCTGAAGTATCATTTATACCCTGGTAGGGTATAAGTGCTAAAATGGGAAGAAATTGGACTGGAATCTAAGCTTAGGGCTTATTTATTCCATCAAGGGGCTTCGGATGCAAACCCATAGGCCACCTTTTCTACTGAGGAGGTGGGGTATGTTGGGGATGCTGCTTGGAAAAGGCCAGTTCAAATCATCATAGCTGGAGCTCTCCTCATATGGATTAGAAATGAGATTCCTTCCTTAGAGCAGCAGACTCTCAGCAACCTATTTTCTGAGGATATGATTTTTTTTTAATTTAGTTTTCTGGGGTATGTTTTGGTCTCCCCTTCTAGAAGGATCTATGCCATAATCCAGTGTTTCCAGAGAACACCATCAGATGCATTTAATTGTGCATAAGACTTATGACATGCAAGAGGTTTACAACCAAGTAAAGACAGCATATCAGAAACTCTT